AATTATGTTTGGCTAGGCAACCTGTGGGCGAAGCAAATTCAAGTTCCAGTCAACTTTATTGTTGTTTCCAACACATTTTGTACACGAGGTGGAACAAATTTATTTACACAGGGTCCCAGTTATTCTCCAAAATAGCAAAACATAAAGTGTAAAAAGAAACAGTAAATAAGGATCTGAGATAAACACCAAGATAGATGCAAAACTAGGCATGATAGGCATGAATGAAAACAGCAGCATGAGATCAGCAGCATGGATAATCAGCAGCACAGATAAGTCACAGATCACCAATTAAAGTGGCATCACAGTAATTTTTATTTTTTCCTGACAGTGAATCCTGGTTAAGGATTTATGAATCTAACAGATTCAGGGTAGAAGCTGTTCCTCAGTCTAGTGGTTCTACACTTAATGCTCCTCAACCTCCTGCCCGAGGGAAGCGGGACAAAAAGTGTGTGCTGGGTGAGTGGTGTCCTTCATGATGCAGGTGGCCCTCTTCCTGCATCTAGAGGTGTAGATGTCTGTGATGGTGGGGAGGCTGACTCCAACAGACTTCTGTGCAGCCTCCATGCCACACGTTGATTCTGGAGCACAGGATGCTCTCCACTGCACACCTGTAGAAGGAGGTGAGGACTGAGCTTCCCAGTCCAACAACAGCAAGTGGTAATGTTTTTACCTGCAACATTGTTTTGTGTCGTTCTTGTCCAATCAATTTAAAACGCTGATGTCATCTGTCGCTGAGGGATTTGAACAGTGAATATTTGTAGTCTTTGAGATAGGTGTTTTTCTGGACTGGAATTGAACTGGAAATGCAGGTAAACCTTAATGTTTTTGGTGCAAAGGATTCAAATGAGTAGGAGTTACACTGTGTATAAGAATAGTGGACATTTTTTTTTTTTTTTTTTTGTCCGAGGCAGCACAGAGTGATGAATCCTGATGAGTGGAGAGAGACATTTTATCCATGACCAGGCGTAATGATGGAGATATTCACTGGGTGGCCAGTGGTAGCCTTGGCAACCACAGATTAATCTTTGGCCACTCCCATAATTTGACAAAACCATACTTTGAAGCAAAATAAAAACTAGAAAACACACTGTAGTTCCTCAAATGAACAGTTTAGCCAGTTTATGTATGTATGGAGGCCATCTTGAATTTTATTGTAGCAATCCATTTTTGGATGTTTTTTTTTTTTTTTTTTTTTTTACACCTGGTTTAGTCAAAGCACGGAGTTCAACCCAGTTGAAATGTTGTGGCAGCTTTATAGAGCTGTGCAGAAACACAGCTGGAAACTTGAACTGATGGAACGTACCGAGTTTTCCACGATCATTTGACTGAAGTTATACGGAAAACTACCTCAAGTTGTTGCTGCTGAAAGTGGTTCTACAAGATACCAAATCATGGAGTGAGTTCAGTTTTTTCACACAGATGGAGAATCTGTAATTTTGTCACTGTTTTTGCTTTTTCTAGTTAGACCCTCCCAATATGTTCAGCTTTTTCTTTTTCAAACTTTTAATAATCCTAATTACCTCTCACATCATTAAATCCCATAGGATGATTGTAGGCCAGCATCAGTGGAGACACTAAAGCAGCACAAGGAGTTCAAGCATTAGTCAAACAAGGTGGATGAGTTTATTTTAGTGGGATTTGTTGGATGGAGATCAGCTCATGCTGCATTAAGCGGGAATAGATGCTCATTCGGCCAGGACGTAGCAAATTCAGAAACGATTTGGAATAACAAAGCAGTTGGACTTTTATTTTGTAGTTCAAGACATTTCACTTCCCATCTGGGAACTTTATCACTCCTCAGTTGTGAATGAATCCACATCTTAAACAGCAGGACAGAAGTTCAGTATCTGTTCTAGAATTCTGTTGGGAGACAATTGCAATAACATTTTTGCACTCGTAGCTGCAGCTGCTGTGGTATAAAACATCAGATCTGTCCTGTGTTGTGTATCACAGTTGGCACATGCTCACTCAGCAGCATAAAACCTTGAGATGATGTCATTTTATTATACGCCTGTCGAAGGCGGACACGTTATTTTGATATAGTCTCCGTCTGTAAAGTTTCTCTCATCCCGCCCATAACTTCAAGATAATTTAATGACGCTTCATATTCATATTTATCTTCACTAGACAGGGTGCTGCAAACACCATCACCCCAGCTCCTAGGTCAAGGTCACAAATCAAGGTCAAAGCAATACAAGGTATTTGCTTGTCCACTGGGGTTTGTTGCCAGGCGTTCAGTAAATGTGCCGTTTGCTGTAATCTTGATTTATTTTTATTTTTATATCTTTATCAATCTGAGCACTTCTGTACACTTTATTCTGTTTTAGCCATTCAGGTATCAAAACATTCAGCTCATTCAGGAGATGGGTGCTGTGACGTTTGTTTTTTTAAAGCTTGTAATTGTCAAAATAATACACTTGACAAATATTTTCCAAATGTATTGCTATGTATTAATTTAAATTGAGACTACAGATGAAAATCTTGCTTTATTTCTTGTAAACGTGATTAAAATATGCTTTGCTGTGCTTGCTCCACCTGTGGTTACTATGTATTCTAGTACATTTGGTAAACTGTGGTGTTTAAAACTCTTGGCTATAGGTCTGCTGCTTTGAGCTTTAAGCTACCTTTTCTCTTTTGAGCAGTTTTACTTAATGAAACTTTGTCAAAATGCCTTCGTCTCAACACTTCTCTTAGTGTTTGCTGCGCCTCATGACTGGACGAAACGTGTCCGTGATGTTAGATTCAAAGCTTTTGTTTTGGCCATTTGTTGAATTTTTGTAAATCATAAGTTCTATCAATTTAGTTTTTCCTTGGGCAGTTAAAATATATTTGTTAAGTTGGAATCAAAATCTGCAATTAATTTTTATATATGGAATAGTTTAGATAGCTTTGGTAGCTTTTGGACCCACCCATTAAAGAGATTAAGAACACACCAGGTGTGGTGGACAGGTCTTGTTTATCAAATGTCCTGTGTGACGACAGGAGGTTGTAGAATTATTTTTGACCACTTTTTGAACTTGTAAGATGAGAATAAGTTTACTTTTGTTTTCATCCAAGTTGTAATTTTTTTTAGTTATTGCTTTGTCCATTTTATTATTTTTTGCTGGAAATAAACTACATATATTTTTCAAACAATCATCCCCCCCCCCCCCACCACCACCACCAATTTACTCTTTATTTATCCAGGTAGTCTCATTGAGCCACGAGAACTCATTTTCTAGAGAGACCTGTTTAGGAGCAGATGGTGGGGGTTAAGGGCCTTGCTCAGGGGCTCAAAGTGGGGCAGGTGAGAGTGGAGGGAGGTGTGAGTGTTCCACCTTTTCCACCCACATTTTGATGTTGACTGTACTGGGAGTTGGACCTGCGACTTTCCGATCACAGGCCCATCTTCTAACCTCTGCGCCACCACTTACCCAATCAAGTTGGAAGTGTTAAAGAAACTGACAACCTGTTGCCACAGCTTTTGTAGTAAACACCGTGCTGCATTCACTTGCACTGGAACATTTCAAATTTACCCGTGTAAACAGCATTTTATACTGTTCGTTCATCCAGTCATCATCTTTTACCCGCTTCTTTTTCTGGTCACAGGTGCCCATATCCAGCAGTCACTGTGTGAGAGGCAGGGGACACCCTGGACATGTCTCCAGTCCATCACAGGGACACAGAGACAAATGAGAGAAACAACCATTCACTCTTTCACTCACACCTAGAGACGATTTAGTTATCAATCAGTCTAACATGCATGTTGTTGGTCTGTGGGAGGAAACTGGAGCAACTGGAGAAAACCAACGCATGCACAGAGAGCATCCAAACTCCACCCGGAAAGGTCCCCAGCACAGGATTTGATCTAGCGACCTTCTCACGGAGAGACAACAGCTCTACCAACTGAGCCACCGTGCAGCCAGTTTTATACTGCACGAGATAAAACGTGTCCGCCTCAGAACCGACATTAATTCAGTCTTTCCTGCTCGGAGGTCAAACCCTCGTTGATTTCCTCTTTACAGAAACTAATTCTTACAACAGAGTTCAGATTTTAATCGTTTTCAGGATTTCATAACCTGCAGTCTTCCTGGGGGGCTTGACATTTGTACAAAAGACCCCAGATGTGTTCAAATCAAATCAGTCATTTCAGGTTTAAACGAACTTGAAATCTTGAAAAATTAGATGCATGACTATGTGCTGTGAATAATTCAGCTATGACCAAACCAGCTTTTAGCTCAGCATCTGTAAAACTATTTATTGTACAAAGAAATAAATGGCTATACAGTAACTCAAAGTAGCTCATGTGCTGCGGTGGCCATCTTGAATCGAGTTCAATTGTAGACGTGCACAGCCAGTGACAATAAATCGACTGTTCTTTGATAGTTTTACAATTTATTACCCCTTTCAAGTGATTTTTACAAGTTTTTCTAGTTGACTGAGAAACTTTATAGAAATCTTTAAAGGGCACGGGCGAAGTGAAAGTAACGAGGCTCTTTTACCAGCTCAGTAAATATCAATCAAAGCAGCAAAAACACCTTTGTGAAAGAGACCTGCGTGCATAAAATCATGAAAAGGTAAATTTGTCTCCTCAGCATCCTCTCCATCTCACTAATGTGTTGATTACGGCTGCACTTCAGAGACGTTTTGTTCCAGATCTCACGGCGCTGCAGTCTCACGTCTCTCAGAGAATTCCTCACAAGCTGCTGTTTAAGGAGCTCCACCATAAGACTAAACGATCCATTTAACGTTAAAAGCTGCACGTTCTGTTTAAGAGAAATAAATCACAAAGGCTGAGCACAAGGCCCACTGCATGTTGAAACAGAATACTGTATGATGCCCTCCAGTCAATAACAGGCCGCATGGAGTTGTAAATTTATAATGCGTTAATATGAGAATCTAAATAAGTTCCTACATAAAATGTTTTGTTTTCAAAACGGCACGTGGAGTAAAAGTGCAGGTTTAAAAGGAACACAGATAAAACAGACAAGAGTTTACTTTATTTAAAGATATAAATCAGGTACATTAATAAAAGAAAAGTGTGCTTTAAAAAGTCAGCTATCAATAATAATAAAAAAAATAAATCCACAGCAAAGCAGTTTAATATCACTCCAGACTCAACTCCAAACGTTTCAGCAAAAGATAAGGGAAAATAGCACGTTGATACTGTGTTTTTCATGATTCTAGGTTTAAAAATATAAAAACCGCACCCGTCAAAAAAACGTGCACGCCCCTCCTGCTGGAGCTCCGATGTTGTGAGCCATACAAAGCGTGATGCTTGATCTCCAGACCAAAGGAGATGGATTTCAAAGCCTTTTCTGTGGAGCAATGCACGCTCTGCAAACAACAACTTCCCACAGGTTTTACTTAAGAAAACAACAAAAAACATACATAAAAAAAAAAATCCAAGTTGTTTCAGTCTTTTTATAAAGACGCCGGCTGATTTAAAATCCTGATTAGAGTTGAAGTTTAGGGGCGAGAAATACAAACACCGAGCGTCGAGTTTAAAGGCAACAAGAAGCAAAACAAACAAGGACGAGCCCTTAAAGTGAATGAAGAGGCGTTTGGTCTCATAATGACGGCCGTCAGCTGTGGACCCCAAGCTGTAGTGTGGTCCCAAACGAACAAAACCAACCAACCTGTGTGTGTTGCATGTAGGATGCAGCTACTGAGCAAGTTCTGGAGCAGAACAGGGACAAAAAAAATACTTGAAACATGATTTGAGACTGTTACTTTTTAAAGAAACATTCAACAGATGATAAAAATGAATAAAGTCAACTGTTTATAGCGACATTAAGTCGAACATCGAGCTTTAAAACCTGAACCAGACATGGTCGTACTGTTGAAATACCACTAACGGATCCAGTTGAGCTCCAGATAAAATAAGGCCATTGATATTTTGCATAGTTGATATTTGCAGTGTAGAAAATAAAGTTGCCAAAAACTAAATGAAAACCATAAATCCTGCTAGCCTTACTTTAAAACTGGTTAGAAAAACAATCAAACATCTTTTGGAATCATTTCCAACATCTCTTCAATCAATCATTTCTTTAATATATATTAAAGAAAAAAAACGTGTAGTCGGTTCCTTTTCTATCTGAACAGAGTTAATCTACAGATTAAAGCTAATCTGAGCAACAGGAATGAGGCAGTGGAGGAATAAAACTGGTCAAAGAGGTGCTGACAGATAGCAGCTCCTCTCACTGAATAATCTAATCTACTCATTGGTTATAAACTCGTTCTTTCATGGGGGGGGGTGTCTAGATGCTGTCCATGGCTTTGAATTCGCTCAGAGCCTGCACGGGGTTCACGTGCTTCTTGTGAGAGGACCTCTTCACTCTGTTGGTCTGCCCGTCATCCTGCTTCTCTCTCTTCACCAGAGGCTTCTTCTCGGGAGCTTTCATCTTCCAGGACACTGCAGGCATGTTCAGGGCCTCCATGCCTTTGTTCTTCTGGTATTTGGTGGAGGCGACGTAGGAGGCCTTCACCGTGGACACCACGGCGTTCATCAGGTTCTTCGCAGCCTGAATCAGGGACATGGCGCTGTCCAACTGTAGAGAAGGAGATATCATGGAAAACATGTGAAATGATGTGAACACATGTCTGTTTATGGTCTACAGGTCTTGGACTTTTGGTTTTCAGACACAAACCAGAACTCAAACACGAGCAAATTAACAACCATTTCCTTGTCTGGCACACAAACGTCTGTGCCGAATATCGGAATAAGTAAAAAGGTCAAACTAATTTAATCGGCTTGCTTTAATGGCTTCAGAGACACCAGTGACACTTGAGGGGAAGTGTCGTTCAGCTTGAAATCATTATTTCCTGCACGCCCAACAACACAAGTCAATTACTTGAAACTGGAAGGGAAGTGGTTAATTATTGCTTAAAGGGGTCTGAGCGCCGACCTTGAACACTAACGTTAAAGGTCAGGAAACATCTGAACAAAAGCAGCCGAACGCTCATTCTGTCAGTCATTTGGCAGCTAACGTCCAGAGTCAACACGTTTGGTAGTTTGATTCATTTTGGTAATTAAAGAATAGAAAACTTTTTTTTAAAGTTGCAAAATGCACCTTGTTGATTTACTCATTCTGAGACAGAATTTGATGGCACCGTGCGAGTTTATTTAAAACTGCTCTGTCTAAACCACCTGTTTTCTTTTTAATGTGTGCTCTCTAAGAGGCACTGGATGTTCCGTCTCCGTTGGAAACATGAAATGTTTGCATCAGCCTCTCTGCTCTCCTGCGTCAATGAGCCCATCAGCCTCCGGTTTCATTGAAACACATTCAGTCCTTAAGAACCTCTAAACTTCAGAGGAAATCACTACACTGTAGAGGAGTGCAGCTGGTCAAACGGTACTTGGACTCACCCCAGAAACGACCAGCTCTCCTCCCAGGTTCTGAACCTCAGCTTTGACTTTGCTGCAGATGTTGAGCTGGTGACAGTACAGAGCGATACGCTGCAGGTAGGCCAGCAGGTCCTGCTTACAGGAGGAGTCGGGACACTGCAAGAGAAATGGGAAAATAAATATACATATAATTAGTATGTAGCTATGGGGGGGGAAACGATTCATTTGTCAGGCTGTACATCAGTTCCATTTTGTTGCTTTTGTCACAGGCAGTCATTGTCCTGAATATTTCAGTACTTTTACGATATTCTCACATTAACAGATAAGATAGTAGCAGTGTGGCAGGTGTAGCAGAAGCTCAGTGTGGACAGAGCCAAAATGAAAAACACACGCCTACAAACTGCCGTCTCATCCTCACAAGGTTAAAGTGTGATCACGTAGCACACAAAACAGTCTAACACGCACCGATGGCTGCAATAATGTCATGTCAAGACTGTCAGGGCAGGGGAATTTATATAAAAAAATAAGACCTGAATGCTTTTGGTAAACTTGGGGTATAAGATGTGTTTTTTTAACTCCCCCCCCCCCCAAAAAAAAAGAAAATTGAGGGGATTTTCTAATTATCAAATATAAACTACACAGCACAAAATAATGTTTTTATACTAAAATTAGTTTTCATTCAATTGAGATTGTCAAAAAGCAAAATACATTTTGATCAGAATCCTAGGATTTTAGCACCTTACTGTGAAAATTCTGCTTTTTGTAAAATTAATTCATGTATGTGTATTTAAAAAAAAAAAAAAAAGTTACAGCATTTTTCGCTGTGCAAGTCAGTTTTTTTGCAAAGATAAGCATGCCTGACTTGTACAGCAAAGCAGCGTATTTATGTTATTTTTCCTCATATTTATAACTTAATTTTTGGCTGAAATCTGACTATTTCATTAATTCTAACATGGAAAATATTGAACGACCATTTTCAGCCACTAGAGGGCCCTCAGCGAATATGACAAGTCAAGTTCAAGCAAACAATTGTTTTTAAGTGTTAATCTTGTTAAATTCTTGTCCTCCCGTGCACGCTCACATGGCCACCATTTGGCAGCCATTCGATTTTTGGCACAACACCGGCCCACATTTCCGGGTTGTGAGCAGTGACACGTAACAAACGCGACGCGTCAGCGGTGACACATAATGGATGAGACATACAGCGGTGCAATGTGTACGGCGGCCAGTACGGTAATGCTAAACAAATGCATCAGTTTTTGTAAATTGTTATTGAACAACAAAGAATGATCTGTGTTCTTTAAACTTCACATGTTGGAAACTCGAGTGGTACGAAGTTTGAAGGTGGACATCTATTTTTTTTTTTTCTTCTTTCAGCTGCTCCCTGCGTTAGGGGTCGCCACAGCGAACTAAGTCGCACAAAGACTTGGCAGTTGTTTTTACGCTGGATGTCCTTCCTGACGCAACCACAGACCACCGAGCTACCACAGCCCTCTGTGTGGAGCAGAGAGCTGCTATCTAGGACACCTGGAGGAGCAGATGGTGGGGGCTAAGAGCCTTGCTCAAGGGCCCAGAGTGGCATGAATGAGGGTAGGGGCAGGTAAATGTGGGAATAAAAATAAAAACTTGTTTGAGCGATCTTAAAAAAGCTACAAAAGGTTAGAGTCTGTAAATGCTTATGTTTGTCCATGTGTTTATATATATATTTTTTACCTTGTACTAAACTCAAATTCAAAAATACTTTATTAATCCCAGAGGAAAATTAAACGTTGTTGTAGCTCATTCTCCTGGTTTCATTAAAAAGTTGTTCTAAATGCTGATGGCAGGAAGGATCTCTTTTGGTGGTCCATCATAGTGAATCTGAAGAAACTGGCCACAGATCTTGATTTGTTTACTTGGATTTGTGAGACTATCAGTCCTCCTGGGCAGCAGGACTACCTGAATGTTGAGCAGAACTCCTTCCAGAGCGATGGTCACTCCCGTCAGCAACTTGTTGAGCTCCTCATCATTGCAGACAGCCAGATGCAGGTGCCTGGGGTTGATACTGGTCTTGTTGTCACAAGCCGTATTTCCCGCCAGCTCCAGGATTTTGGCAGTCAGGTACTCGAGCACCGCCACCAGGTAGACGGAGATGCATCCACGGTGCCTCCTTTACAACTCATTTGGGATTTGGGACTGTAGTTGAGGTATTATTTGAGCTTTGAGATGTTAATCTGTTGCACCCAGTTGTAAAAAAGACATTGTTGCCATGGTTACGCATCATAACAAATGTCCAAAAGTAAAAGATGTTTCAGTCAAAATCCTTCCAGCTACACAGCATCCGATACCAGAGGAAAAAATTATCGAAAAAACGTGAATTACATCCTGAAAAAGAGGAATTAATGTTTTCAAAAGCAATATCCCAGAACGAATAGCTACTCCAACATGCAGCCACCTTGAGTGGCGCAATTATTGAATTTTTTTTTCAGATCAGACCTCCATCCAAACGGTTTAATCTATTTGATACTGATCTGATGAAGTAAACCAGCTTTTTGATTTGTGTTTTAACAGTGTTGTTAAAATGTTGCACCTCTGTAAAATAAAGAGGATGGAGGGAAGTGTTGGCGCCTCTGAACTGGCAGAGGAGAAAGTCACAGAGCTCAGCTGACATCTGTGAGCACGAGCGCGCCAACACAGACAACGGTGCCCACGTCTCTGCTTGAACAATGGCGGCGCGCTGGTGATGAGTCCACACGGAGACAATGCTGTGCCGTTTGTTCGGCTGGCGAGCAACAGCAGCATTACGAGCCTCCTTTGCAATGTTACAGCTCAATCTCGTGTGAAAAAACAACTTGTGAACGAAATTTAATCTCATTTTAAAACTGTCTGGCAGAAGAATATTGGCTCGAAGGTTCAACTTGAGGTTAAAAAAAAACAAAAAAAACTTCTGTTTCAAAAAGACATTATTGTAAACAGGCGGTTAGGTACACAAGTCACTAAATTGGAGCCAAAAAACCTCCATCAACTTCAAAAAGAAATTATCATAAAATCCACTTTAAAGTGGCAGCATGTGAAGAGCTCCACAAATGCATCTCATTTAGCACTGGCAATGTCTTTGACTCATTTTATCTCATCGTAATTAGACTTGGGCTCCACCATTTCCAATCCCTTTCCTGGTTAGCTAAACAAGCCCCCTGCCAGCACAGTAATTAGGCCACAGTACTCTTCTTAGCTGCTCATCAAGTGAAGGATGTAAACACTTTGATGGGGGCCCTGACGCTTTGAATCACATCAGAATGACCCGAGTCACAAACTGTTTATCAGCAGTGATTAACACACGGACTTTGTTGCAGATCAGAGGCTGCCAGATTTTCACATCACCTACTAAACGCACCATATATGGAAGAATCCAGGGCCGACCACATGATGAGAAGACACTAACAGAAGGTGCAGACGGCAGGATTTTATCAATGAGCTTGGTTCTTTTGGAACCAGAGAAGGTGAGTGGATTATTTTTTGCAGAAGAGGCAGTTCAGTGCTGTACATTAGCATGACCAAGAGCTACGTGCATGTTTTCAGATAAAACACCCTTTCTTCGGCTTTATGTAAAGGACATGGAATCATGCTCGCAGCGTTTTTCACTTGACAGAAGCAGTTTTGAACAGCTCACGTGCAGTAACCTAACAGGTAACATCTTATATCTATGCAGAGGGAAGAAGAGGAAACATCAGAGGGATCATGATTTCTGGACACTTCAAACAGACTACGACTTATGATGCATCTAATCCTGCTGAGCACATCAGTATCCCTGGTGGGAGAACAGAGTGCTCCACTGAATATAGTGCACTCTCTCCCAGATATACAGTCATGCATGCATTTACAAACCGCCACAACTGTGCTTATTTATACACCGCTTACAGAAAGGACACTAGAAGAGGGGAAGGACATGAAAAGATAACTGAACCCTGCACAGCTTCAATTTTTGATTATTGTACACACACAGGACAATTGTACTTTTTAATCACAAATATCCAGTTGTGATCTGTACAAAGACAAGCCAAGAGGTGAGGAAAGAGTCGTAAAAGTCAACGTTTCGTTGAGAAGTGATCATCTTATAGCAACCAACAACTAAACATGGCTGCCAGACTGGAGGAAATAGAAGAGGCATCAAGGTTACAAAGAACAAGAATGAACCAGAAAATCAGGAGAAAAAGGCGAGGATGAGGAGTCAGCCAGAGGGGAAACGGTGTGGAGGAGTAAATAAGGGAGAAATCCGACTGGGGAAACGAGAACAAGCGGATTCAACTGAAGTTGGGAGGGGCGTTTAAGTCAGACCGAGGCAGCGGGCGCGTGACGGCGTGCTCGTGCAGAGGCACACATGCAAATGCAAAGACCTGGGATGAGGCTGAATGCAGCAGCCATGCTAATGAAGGCTTGGGGAAGTATTCAGACGGCTGAGAGCAGGGCACCGTGAAAGCAGCGCTTGTGCTCATAGTCGGCTCAGCTGCTGGCTTCCCTCAGCACTCAGGAAACTCTGCGAGGCTGCTCCGACAGTGACATGTGAATACTTAAGATGCACGGAGAGGGGAGAGAAAAACACCTAGAGTTGTTTCAGTGAGGCAAATATGCATGAGATTAACAAACAAGGTGGTGGTCACAGAGCAGTGAGCGCTTTAAGCTCCTCTACCACCAAGTCCAGTCTCCAGATATTAGACTGATTGAACAAGTTTACAAAGTTTTAATGTTATTAGTTGGATGTACTTGCTCAACCTATAGGTATAATGTGTTCAGCACAAATACTTGACATTAACTAATAGCCCGCTGTAGTTTATTCTGTCCTGTCTGAGTACAAGTGAAAAGCGTCCTTCAGGCTTGAGTGTTTGTGTGACCAGTCAAGAGAGAACAGGAGGAGGTGCAGAGGAGTCTTCAGCACACTTTATTTTCCAAGGTAAGCCAACAGAGAGGTGAGTCACCAGCTTTTAAAACCAGGAGAAAGCATCACAGGCAGAAATGTCAGTGATTTTGAGCAGTTCTTTCTTACTAGCTGCGTGTATTTTAGAAATAACGGAGACAAAAGGAACGCCTGAGTCATAACTTAAGCAGATCACTAGATTTGCTAAATTAATATTTTACAACATAGCCCACCATGACCCATGAGGGTCTCATTATGTAAATTT